CCAAGTCAGCACACTTCATTCCTGTCCATACTTCCTACAGTGCTGAGAGGTTAGCCCGTATCTACATTCGAGAGGTGGTTCGTCTTCATGGTGTGCCTGTTTCCATCATCTCAGATCGGGGCCCACAGTTCACATCTAGCTTCTGGAGGACCTTCCAGGATGAGTTGGGTACCCGTGTTGACCTTAGTACAACTTTCCACCCGCAGAATGATGGTCAGTTGGAGCGCACGATTCAGGTTCTTGAGGACATGTTGCGGGCTTGTGTTATGGATTTTGGGGGTCAGTGGGACCAGTATTTGCCTTTGGCAGAGTTTGCGTACAACAACAGCTACAACTCGAGTATTCAGATGGCCCTATTCGAGGCCTTATCTGGTAGGCGTTGTCGCTCTCTAGTTGGTTGGTTTAAGTCTACAGAGCCCAGGCTGCACGGTACAGACTTGATCGAGTGGCTTTAGATCATGTGAGGGTGATTCAAGATAGGCTCAGGACAACCCATAGTAGATATCAGAGTTATGCAGACCGTAGGCATGACTGTTGAAATTTGTTGTTGGTGATAGAGTATTCCTCCGTGTGTCGCCCATGAAGGGTCTAATGAGATTTGCGAGGCGGGGCAAGCTTAGCCCCAGGTATATAGGTCCTTTTGAGATATTGAGGACACTTGTAGAGGTCGCATATAAGTTAGCTTTGCCCCCGGCCTCTTCAGCTATTCACCCAGTTTTTCATGTTTCGATGTTGCGCCGGTATGTTCCAGATGAGTCCTATGTGATTCAGTATTATGCAGTTGACTTGGATGACATTTTGAGATACATTGAGGAGCCAGTTGCTATTTTGGCCAGAGATGTCAGACGGTTGCGTTCCAGAGCCATTCCTGTTGTTAAGGTCCATTGGAGACATCGTCTAGTTTACGAGGCTACGTGGGAGACTGAGCATGAGATGCGGGCGCAGTTCCCCGGCTTATTTGAGCCTAAAGGTACTTCTTGACTCTTACCTTCGCGGACAAAAGTTCTTTTAGTAGTGGATATTGTAATGACCCTCCAAGTCATTTTTAAATTAAAGTATTTATTCCATCATTTAGAGCGTTCCTGTAACGACCCCAGGTCATTTATGACTTGCTGGCACTGAATGTTCGATCGCCTGGTCGTTCGTTTGGGTTTTAGGCCCGTTTCCCTGTGCTGGAAATTTTATAATTTGAAAATTTGACTTTGGTCAACCTTCTTGGAAGACGTGCTCAGATAAAAATTGTGACAGCTTGGTTAGCTTTGGAATATCAATTTACTTCTAGAACGACCCTTTGTTCACTTCCCGAGGCTTTAGGTGCCCGTTGTGGAATATGGCCCAAGGGGGCAACGACAAGAGAGCTAGACAGGAGGATAGTCATAATAGGCGCCGTTTCAAACCCCGAGAGTCTTATGATAGATCTCAGCAGAGGTTTTAGTCGGGTCAGTCTTGTCGCCTCTTCCAGGCCTCTCTCCAGGCATCGGAGGGTGATCCGCACTGCCATATTGGTTTCAGTGCCGGTCCTAGTCCGGGCCGACGTAGTTCTTAGATGGGCTCTTCTTACCGTGGTAGCCGACCTCCAGCTCTTAGTCGACAATCCCATGGGTGCTATGAGTGTTGGGAGTTATATCATTGGGCCCACGAGTGTCCCCATCGCAGGTTAGCCTTACCCGCTCCACAGGCA